TTGAGTTAATTATTGAAAATTGATCCTTAAATATAAAGTCCATGCATATCGTTTGAACATACCAAGAATGTTTATCATAAATAAACGTTCATGACCAAACCTATAGTGAATGGGGAAGATTATAATGCAAGATTTATCACAAATAAACAAAAATGAACCTTGGAAAGGGGAAAGATATTAACAAATAAGAACATTTAGTTAATTATAACGTGACGAATTATAATTACACAATGCAACTCTCACCCAGACCTATAACACAAACTCACGGCAGTGCCAAATAGGCAAATTTTAGCTCGAATAATCTCTGATGAAATGTCTTGCGTTTATTAATGTATTTATTTTTCATCAATCGAAATAATTAGTTGTTGGAATATATGAACCATAAACGGTCGATCGGTTGCGTAACATTCACGCCATTTCAATTGAAATTAAATGTTAAACGTAACATTAATAGTTATTATTTTAATGAAAACGCTTGTTAATAGAAATATTTTTAAGGATCATAAAGATAGATAGATAGATAGATAGATAGATAGATAGATAGATAGATAGATAGATAGATAGATAGATAGATAGATAGATAGATAGAGAGAGAGAGAGAGAGAGAGAGAGAGAGAGAGAGAGAGAGAGAGAGAGAGATTTTTGGCGAGTGAGTGCGACAGAAAGGGAGATAAAAAGAGAAGGAAAGAAAGAGAGTGAGGCAGAGAAATCGACAAGAGGATTTTAAAAGAGTGAGTGCGAGAGAAAGGAAAGGAGGGATGAAGGGCGATAAAAAGAGAAAGAAAGAAAGAAAGAATGAGAGAGAGAGAGAAAGAGTAGAAAGAGTCAGTAAGTAAGAAAGAAAAAGAAAGATAGAGAGAGAAAGAACTATCTGTAAAGAGAGAGGTCGAGAGAAAGAGAGAGGGAGGGAGAGGGAGAGAGGGAGAGAGAGAAGAGTTCCTCACTGAAGATGGCGCAATACCGAAACGCGTAAAATAACAAACCATCGTCTAGACAGACCCAATAAGTGACCCTATGCCGGTTTAGCGTGAACATGCTATTAAATTATTAATATATTAATATTAAACTTTAAAACTTAAAATGAGATTCAAGCGGTTTGCAAAGAACTCAACACGACCAGTAATTTAAATGATAAAAATGTCGATCAACGAAAATATACAAACAGTATGCAAGTATTGGATTTCAAGTGGGCAAACCAAAATCTATGTAATCTGACCGGTTTTTGCTTGTTTCAGGACCCAGTAAAGTTCTAAAAAAAACCGAACTGGAAAAGGAAATTCTACACGTACAATGTTGTTTTCCGTTTTATAGTTTTTGATATCTACCAGGGGAAACGTAATCGATGCATCAGTGAACCTTGGAAGAACAAATATAGACGATACCCATGGATTTTCTCGCGTGCACTGTCGTTTCCCATTTTCTAATTCGTGCAGGGCAAAAACCAAACGGCAAGTTGGGTTCGTTTCCAGGCAAACCACTTTACTTAACCCTTAAGAGACAGTATCTGGGTAAAATCGAATAATCGTCAGTAATGAAAACCCATTCAACATTCATTAAATTTATATATTTCACCGCTCAACGCCAAGTACTCGATAAAACTGATTCCACCGAGTAGATGATGCAAATGTAAATCATAATTTATTGTATCGCAAATCAGAAAAGGAAGATGAAAGTTATTTTTCAAAAGTGGAATTTCTTTTAAACAAGTGAGCATATTAAAATGTCATTAAGCAAATAAAGAAGAGATTAAATGCCTAAACAAATGGGGAAATTGGAGAGCTTAAGTATGAGTAACTTTCATTATATAAATTAGTATAAAAATAAAAATTACAAACTCTCTGTAGTACATTTTCCTTATTCGAGACGTTTAAGAATATCTAAAAGAAATTAAATTGAAAACCTATTAGCTTTATATATATGTTGTTCCCAGCCTGATAAATTTTAATTATATAATTATTTAATTTTATAATGTCTCTACATGTACATTTATATATTTACTTCTCGTATTAGTCACGCTGGCGGATCTGACCCAGCGCAGCACTTGGGAATTTATTTGACATTAATTTATATTATTATTTTATATTATAAAGTCAAGTATTATAAAGTACCCAACGGGTACTTGTGTTAAAAATTAAATTATTTATTTTTTTATCTGTGCTAATCTCTCTCTCTTTCTCTCTCTCTCTCTTTCTCTCTCTCTCTCTCTTCTCTCTCTCTCGCTAATTGTAAGAGAGGTCATTCGCGACTAAAACTTGCGATTTTTTTTTAAATAAAACGATATTCATTCTTCTCTTTCTCTCTCTCTCTCTCTCTCTCTCTCTCTCTCTCATTCATTCTCTCTCTCTCTCTCACTCTCTCTCTCTCTCTCTCTCTCTTGCTAATTGTAAGTGAGGTCAATCGCGACTTAAACTTGCACTTTTTTTTAAAAATAAAACGATATTCATTGTTTTATTCACTCTCTCTCTCTCTTTCTTGCTAATTGTAAGAGAGGTCGTTCGCGACTTAAACTTGCGATTTTTTTAAAATAAAACGATATTCATTTTTTATTTTCTCTCTCTCTCTCTCTCTCTCTCTCTCTCTCTCTCTCTCACTCACTCACACTCTCGCTAATTGTAAGAGAGGTCGTTCACGACCTAAATTTGCGTTTTTTTAAATAAATAAAATGATATTCATTTATTTATACTCTCTCTCCCACAAAAGTGATATACACAAATTAAAACCAATTACGTTCAAGGAATTAAAAATTGGTAACTCAATTCTGATACAGTGAGAATATGCAGAACAAAATGATCGGTAACGATGAAATAATCTTTAATTATTAACTTTTTGTAATAAATTAATTTGGATTTTCGTTTTACTGTTATTAAAGTTAATGATAATTACAATTTAATTTTTAAAAATAAATACAAGTTCTGTGCCGAACAATTTCTGTATTGCTTATTGGAAACATGTAAGAATATCTAAAAAATTAAATTGAATTTATATATTGATAATAATATAAAAAAGTTGTATTGTAACAATTATGCTATTTATTTTAGCATAACGTCCACTGATGTTGGATGATTTAACATTTCAAATTTAAAATCGTCTGTGACAAAGACGGTCATTTTAAAATATGACGCAATTAGTAAAACCCAAAAACTCTGACAAGGATCAGATAAAATTGTATTTGACTTTTCTAGATGATAAAAATATAATAATATTTTTAAAAAATTGAATCAATAATATAATACATCGTTATAATTTATATAACGAGGTAAATGACCTAATTGTGGATCGTTAAAGGACCATTTTTTTAAAAAAAAGGATCAACATTACTGGCACGCGAGCTTTTGCGATAATATCTCCCATGGAATTTTCGGTTTTCCTACGACAATTTCAATTATTTTGATCATTCGAGGTTTGTAAACAATAGAAATCCCGCGACGCGTATTTGCGACTTTTTGACGAATGGGCAAAACATCTAAATTTAGAAATGTTTAATTATCTCGTCCGATGATACGCGACGATCGAAATGTTTTCAATCATACCATTTAGCGTAGGGGCCTGGCTATTTTCCCCGTTGGTTTCTTTTTTTTTTAACGCAAGCTAAAACGAATGGCTTATGAATGAATGAAATGGTTGAAAACAAAAAGACAAACAAGTACGGCCAACAAGTATGCAACTCGGCTCTTTTAAAGAAAAACAAATTTACAAACATATATATAAAAACACAATTAGTTTTTCTGTGTTTGTGCAAATTATAAAGTTAGAAGACGATAATTGGAAAAATAAATAAATTAAAAAAAATACAATCAAACGTGCAACCGAGTATAAAAAAAAATTAAATTAACTATTTCCCTTTCCCACTCACTCATGATCACAAAACACATATAACAACAAAAAATAAATCACATATTTGCTTTATCGATAAAGGTTACAACTCTTATCTTCAGGGAGACTTTTCAAACTACAATTCCCAAGGTAAAAAGAAAGAAAGAAAGACATTTATGATGAATGTGATACAAGAATTGTAACCTTTCTAAACGGGATTTTTTCTGTCAAATATTATTCCATAAATATGATTTTTTTTTCAATTTTCTTACAGTATATTTGTTTATGTTAATTTTTTTTTTTTAAATTTGGGATAATACTTGAAACTCCAAGACTTCCTAAAACCAAACGAATGGCCCGTGAAAATGAAACATTTTATAATTTCCTGATAGTCTGAACAAATTGTCACTGTTTGAATTAGCGAAAATTAATTTTAGCCGAGTAGTAAAATTGGTCTGGCTTATTGAATACTGTACGTATGTATAGAAATACCGGAGTTCCGTATGACCGGGTGAAGGTCGGCTGTCTGTCTATTCTCGTTTGTTAGGTCTGACAGACGAGTCACTTAATTTTAGTCGTTGGCCAGGGTTATAAGCAGGGCGAGGACGAGAATCCTCTTAGTTAAAATTAGACACAAGACTAAATCGCAAATGTCTGCAGACTGAATCTGTGCCTTGTCTCACCTTACTTCCCTGACCAACACTAAAGACGAAATGACAGGTCTGTCAGACCAAAATTATAAGCAGACAAGGATGATGTAAACAAGCCCAAAAATCTCAAGAAGAATGAATTTTTTGTCTTTTTTTTACAATATTTACAATATAAAGTATTTTTTTATTTGAATTTTATGAATTTAAATTAAATTTATTAGGGGCCTTGGTGTTAAGTTTAAATAATTAATATTTTAACGAAGTATTCTGCGTTCAGAACCTAAAATTTATGACAGCAGATTATAATGAAATAAAATTTGGGGAATAATATTTGACAAAAAGTTGACCCATAATGACTATCAAAGTTACAAAGAAAACAGTAAAGAAAAATGAAACGAGAAGCGATATATATACAGTTTTAAAAAATAATGATTTGTGGGGTTATTTCAATCCGTAAAAACAGTAAACGTTTCAAGAAAAATTTACCAAGATATTCAAATTTTGATTTTTTTGTCTGACTTTTTTGTTCGCGCTCACCTGGGTTGCGGAAGATCCAAGGCCGCTGTGGCCAGGGCCCGCGCGAGGCCGCGCAAACTACACAATAACAAACAACAAACATATCAATCGAAACGGGCAGAAAGGCCCAGGGCGGATCCGCAAATTCATCCGCCAGCTAAACTTTAAAATTATATATAAATAAAACAACAAGACCTGGAAAAAGCTCCTTAAGGGTATTTAAAAAAAAGGCCAATCTAGCTCTGAATCTCCAGATATATGAACTCTTGACTACTTTCGATAAAATTATTTGAAGCAGTTTTCAATACATATTCTCCAAGAAGACAAACAAGATGATATCTTATTTAACAGTTTTTTTATTACTATTTATTTTGTAATTAATACTCTATGAGGAAAGAAAATCTTACTCCCATTATTCGTAGAAAAGTCCAACCTTGTCTGTATAAAATATCAAATACAGAATACAAGCTTTATTCAAAACATTTACAAATAATTACATATGAGTGCCAGTTAATGTTATAACTTCCTGCTTGAAAATATTTTTTTTTAAAGAGATCAACAAAACAAAAGTTAATTTAAGTTCTTGGTTGAGGTGAAAAAGTTAGTGACATGAACAGGATTCGAACCCACGACCTTCGGTGCCTCAACCCGACCTACAAACTTTCGAATTTGCCCTCTTTTTGCCATTTTTCGTGTAATCAGGATTCGATTCTCAGCGACTTACGATGTGGCCGCGGGGTGCTGATAGTGAAGTGATGCTTCTGTACGTTATTTATTAATCCATTTATATTTGGTCTAATTGACCATATTAATTTTTTACGAGGGTTCGCAACAGCAGGGGTTATATCAACTCTCGGGGTGCCGGTATTTAAAAAAAAGGCCCATTTGTAAGTATGTCGCATTCGAACCCGGGACCTTTCTCTTACAGTGATGAGCGTCGTGTCAACGCCTAAACCGTTGCGGCCACCGACGCCCCGATCATCTTAATTATTTTAATTAATTATTCTTTTTTATGTAAGGTCTAGGTTGAGATGAAAAAGTTAGTGTCACGAGCGGGATTCGAACCCACGGCCTTCGGCTCAATACGCCGCTGCTCTAACCACTTGAGCTATCGTGACTTCGAACCACTCGGACACCAGCTCCTCCTCCCAACCTATAGCCTTTCGAATTTGCTCTCTTTTTACCATTTTTTCAAATGTCGCGTACTCACTCAGGATTCGATTGAAATAATTAATAGACCACTAAACATAAATGGGTTAAGGGTTACAAAGTAAAAGTTACTTTAATGTATTAATAACCATCCCTTAAAAACCCTAAGCCGTGGGCGAGGTTAAAGAGTTCACTCCTCTATGCTTCTACTCGAAGTCCATCCAAGACATAATCCCAAATTTGTCGTACTAACTGATAACTGCTTAGCTTCCATCGCACAAGAAATTCATTGTGAGGCGTTTTACGTGGTGTAAACTAATGTTGTGTCAATGTGCAAGTCTAAAATGCGGGTGTAGCGAAATGATGAGGTCACCAGCCGGAAAAAACGTATTTTACGTAATTTGTAACGAGGGGATCATTAACTCCAAGAGTGGCAAGCGTACGAAAGCATTGGTCTGACCACTACTTTGCAATTTGTTTACTGGGGACAGTATAGTTTCTGTTCAGTAGAATTGCTGTCTGCTAATTTACCTTTATTCACTCTATCCCTTTATGGGCGGTGAAAGTTAGCTTACTGTCATGTATTACCCCAAGGTACTTAACAATAGCAGACCAAGGTATTATCTGGTCCCCGAAGTCGATGCCGATCCTCCACAGGCCTGCGCTTTGAAAATAGGATAGACTCCGTTTTTGTGAGAATTGTTTTTGTCGATTTGTTACAGGACAAATGACATGGCCTTTGTAAGTCTGCTGGCTACCATATCACTCTCCAGGACGAAGTGTAGATGGCAAAGTCATCAGCGTGCAAGACCAGTCTAAAAAATTTAGATCTTGGCATTGCATTGAAAAATATAAGACAAAGAACAGGTCCTATTACAGATCCCTGTGGGACACAAGCAGAACCCTGCCTGTATAAACAATCTTCCTTGTTAACACTGGTTTGCAGTATTAGAATTATCGACCACTTTTTCACTTACGGTCACCCTGGATCAAGATATTGTCTTGAAAAAGAAAGCAAATTTAGTTACTACTACTCCCAAGCTTTCGACCTATTTTAAGGTCATCATCGGAGGAAACAACCTTAAATATGTCTACAGATTGACAAAATTAAGTTTTTACAAGCGATCTCAAATGTCTTTGAAAACCGATTTAGTGCCAACATTGCCAAAAATTGTTATAGTCAATCTGTAGACATATTTTTTAAGGTTGTTTTGCCCTGATGATGACCTTAAAATAGGTCGAAAGCTTGGCAGTAATAACTAAATTTGCTTTCTTCTTCAAGACCATATCTTGATCCAGAGTGTTCGTAAAACTGGTTTATAATAAGAAAAGGCGGACAAGATAAACATTAAAATTGGTAACCTACTAAATTCCCCTAAATAATGTTTAATGGAAAAAAACTTGCAAAAGTTTGTGAATTTTAAGTCAACGAATAAAGAATATTGCCGCTAAACGATATTTATGATTCAACAAAATAAAAACGGTGATCGAGCATCCTAAACAGTATAGTCATACACGTCCAACAATTATTTTTACTTTTTAGATTGTTTGATGAACCCTAGTCTGCCTACACTTGTTCATCAGTGATTGGTCTGAGTGTTATTTTGTCAATCAAACGATAAAACAAGAGTATGTTTCAAGCCAAAGAATAATACTGCAACTATATAAACGAAAGCTGTTTATGCCCATAAAGAGAAAAACACAAGGAGAATATATCCAAGGCGGCATTTGGTGACCTGTTATTCAGCGGAAGCATAAGATGGTGCCTTTTCTCCGAAACACCCCAGAAAATCTCAAATTTCGAAATATTTCCTTCAACTATAAAAAAAGGAAGATATATCACTGAATGATGTCCGAGAGACTTGTTCAGCATCCCACATGCTAGTCGTATCAAGCGACAGTAAAACAAAATATTGTTCAGTGGGAGACGAAAAGTTGATTCTGTAAACTTCCATCTATGGATTCCGTTGCGTTCACAGGGAAAAGTCGATCGAACCAGCAAAACATTTGACTTTTAAACTTTTTGAAAGGGTAAGTATGAAAAGGGTAATGCTATTTTCACGTCAACTTTGGCCACAACGTTGTAATCGTAAAAACAAAATATTGTGAGGTGCCTTCACCTTTATCTTAGCCTGACTATTCTGAAGATTTTTTTTACCATTTTCTTATGTTCTTATCCTTTTGCACATTTCTTCTTATTCAGTGGTTGATCCATGCGGTTTTTGGTAAATTATTGAATAAAAAAGATACAGATTACCTAATACTTTCTCGAAATTCTACAAAATCGTATAAGCCTGACAGGCAAAGCCAATCTAGACTACCGACCATAACTAATTTCAGGTGAATTTGGACACAACTATATGAAAATTTTACAATCTATGAAGGATTAATACAGAATTCAAGTCCGAATGGTCATTTAACTCGAGAATAGACAGAGCACAATGATCGGTGTCGATAAATCATACGACAGAAAGAAGTCAGTGCGAGTTTCCATAGAATTTTCCATATCCATACTTCCATGATTAACTTCCTCTATCGTTTTTGGTTGCTCATAATTTTCTTTGAAAATACTTTAGATATAGTGACATCGGCCTGGTCATTTCTAGAACAAAATTATGCTCTCAGAGATGTGATTTGATAGTGATTCGAGGCATCAACGTGCTATTGAAACATATGATTTTATCCTAACTCTTCATAGGTTTCTTATAAAATTTAACTACGGCGTAACAACAATTCTGGATTAGAGGGCCATCATGTCGAAAGGAAGCTATCATAAAAATTTTTAAAAAACACACCCTTATTGTTGGCAGACGTTAATATTTCATACGTGAAGTCTTTGCATAGTGCAGAGATTATTGCGGAAGGTATACATCACAAAACGCACAGTAATGCATTTTAAACGCGAGCACATTGTACAGACTAATGAAATTTAAACGAAAAAAAAAAATCCGCCTGATAGGTGAAACCAGAGAGAATAGGTAGAACATGATGTTCGGACACGATTAAGGTGTTTAAAAACAAAATTATGATTAAAACAGTTGAATCTAGATGCTATGAACTAAACACTTATACAAGGCGCTGTATTCATTCATACTGCATGCAAGAGTGTATGGACGTTGAACTTGAAGATAAGCAGACCTCGATGAAACTAAATAAAACCAAGAGCCAAGAGTAAATGTTGATGCCTAGAGAATAATGATATACCACAAGAAGACAATCGTACACACCCATATTATGCACGACTCAATGCAGACATAACCTAGCAAAAGAAAAAACTTAGGGAAAAAATTGTAGCAACAAAGGTCAATGACCTAATACTTCTAAGAGTATTAGGTCATTGTGTGGTGAGTCGATTGCACTGAACTAGGAACTAAGAAGGTACAATAAGCCAGAAGGCTGCAGTTCCTGGGGAGTACAAACCCCGCTTCCTAGTTAGTACCCTCATTACCATACTATCAAGACGAACTGAGAAGTTGAAAACTAAATAGAAATAGGAGCCAAGTTCAAATTTTCCTAAATGCAGATGCCTTATGAGGAGGTAATGACATACCACAATAAGAAAATCATATACAAGGCATTGCATGGTAAATTTAGACTCTGGTCAAGTTTGTATCGAATCGAACTTACAGTTAAGCCGACCATTAAGAACTTAAAAGTTATAAAATACATAAAAACAAGAGCCAAGACTAAATTCCGTTGAATGTAGATGCCTCCTGAGACGAGAAAATTTTATACAAGGCACTACATGATGCATTTATGCGAGCAAGTCTGTATCGACATTGAACATAAAGGCAGATAACAAGGAATTGGGGAGTTGAAAATTACATAAAAACAAGAGCCAAAATTAAATTCTGTTGAATGCAGATGCCTCGTGAGGTATTGACATACCACAGTAAGAAAATCTTTTGCAATGCACTGCATTCGAATTCACACTATAATTTACACTATATGCAAGTCTGTATGATATCGAACAAAAAGGCAGATAACAATGAATTGAGGAGTTGAAAATTACATAAAAACAAGAGCCAAGATTATACTCTGCTGATTGTCGATGTTCATGAGGTAAAACAATTAAAAGTCACACTGCGATTCATGATACATTTATACAGTCTGCTAGTCTGTATAAACATCGAATTTAAAGACAGACAATGATATCTGGGATGTTCGAACAACACAAAAAAAAAACAATGGCCATGTCTTTATCCAATCGAATTCAGATGGATATAGCATACAGCAGCAAGCAAATCTTATTTTCGTACGGAGATTCAGAATGAAATATAAACCAAGGAATGAACTCGATCAAATTGTAAAGACATCGTAAATAAATCGGTGGAAAATCAAGTTTATCTGCCCATTGACATCAAAACCAATATCTGACTGATCCAAACATAAATCATTGCCAATGGTCCCGCATTTCGGGGTAGCAGTGATGATTTAGAGGTCTGGTGTATCGGATGACAGCGCAACAAAGGAATATCACTCTTGGCCAAAGCCAATTTTATTTCAGTGGTAAATAGACGACAAATCACCATATGGCCGTCCTATTGAGATGAATAATGAGATGGTTAGGGATGTAATTTGTGAATAGAACCATCCTTTTAACTATCATAATGAGCTTTTGACACAAAGAAGTATCAAATCATTGAATTTTTATAGTGCCCCCTAAAAGGTCTAATGAACCTCCAACCAATTGTCAGTAGTGACTATATAGTCAGGACTTTTCCAAAACTATTCTAAGCATTTAGTAGAATTAAGAAGGAATCGTAGTTTCAGTCGAGAACCGAACTGGTCAAATCAATCAAATGCTGTTTCCCAATGCAGTTATCAGGGAAAAGCGACAATGGCAATCAAGTCTTTTTATTTGGTCAGGACGCGGCGAAAATTTTACGATTTGGCTCGGATGCCCTATGCCGGCCAGCATATTCATCCTGCAGTCAAATAAACAAGTTCAGTTAAAGAATATAAATAAAGACAGTCATGCTGGAATTTTTTGATAAAAAATCCGAAAAGAAAGACGGCAGGAAGTTATCTGTAGAAAAACAGACAATGCGTCATGGGATGAATAATTAACTGTTTAAAAAAATAATCGAATAAGTTTTTTTATAATAGAAAACAAAAACAAAATCAGTCTTTCTGATCGATAACAGATGTTCTTTTTATCGAACCAACTTGCTGGAAACATAAATATAATATTCCAACTTTTTAACTTATAGGATGATCGAACTGCTGAAAGATATTGAAAGAATAAGCAGACCAATTGACAATTAAACAATGCATTTAATTCCAAAGTTGTTCACGTAAATTAATTTTCTTATATTGGAGATTGATATAGTCAAAGTTGATATCAAAGGTAATATCTACCTATAGGTAGCTATAACACATACTTAGAAAATTAACAAGTATTCGATGATGATAATAAACTTCACGCACTTTTTAAAACCAAAAATTTGAAAAAAAAAAAAATACCAGGCTTATAAGAACAAGCCATGACAACCCAGAGGTTTTAGGGAACCTGCAAGGTAGAAATAAAGTTCTTACCTTGTAAAATCTTAAAAAAATTTATTCATTCGAAAATAACCAGGGTAATGAAATGGTCTAAAAGCACAATTGACAAGAATTTAAAGAGATCAGATATTAAGTTATTCAATTAAACGATCAGGCAACAAATTACAAAACCGATGAGTTCCAACTATGTACACGAGAGAATAAGTTCAAGAACGGTAAACAACCATGCGGGATACAAAATGTGTACAGGGTGAGGTGACACAGACCAATTTTAGGTTTTGTTCCGAAGGTCTAGTAGCATTTGAAACTTTTCCTGCAAGTGTAATTCAAAACTGGGCGAGTCTTGAGCCAAAATAAAAATATACACCCAGGCTTCAATATCATTTGATTATTGCATCAGGTCACCTTGGACTCTACTCTATTAAAAACTTAAAATAACACGTACAATTTAATTTATAAAAGTGGTCATTTTCTTATAATATGTCATTCTTTATAATCATTTATACCAATTCACCAAATTTGATTAATTAAATCACAATGGTGGGACAAATTTATCAAAGACTTTTATGTTAAATTTTAAACTTTTTTGGGTCAATATCTTACAAGAAATTTATTGACTTGATATCAACAATTGTCAAATTGGCTAAAGAATTGATCGAGAAGGCTAAAATGTTATGTATAATTATTTTGAAAGAAAATTGCCTGAACTAATACAAAAAAGTTTGACAATCATTACTTTACCAATACTAATGACATGACCAATAATATCCCATTGATTTATAAGATTGCTCGTTATTTTGTTAAAATGTTCTGAATGGTTATCTCCATTTTTATACTTGCTTTTTTTGTTTTCAATAATAAAAAAATAATATTTGAAATGGTAAGTAAACTGCTTCAAATAGATGCTGCTTTAGATGTGCAGATGTAAAAACAACCATGGACTCTGGAGATTCAGCCTTAATTCAATTAGGTAATGTTACAAGGAGGCACATATAATCTAAATAGGTCCTAGAATGATGCAGTGTTCAATATAATACATAAAATATGAAAAAATAAACCGAACGAGAAAGAAGAAGAATAATTAAAAAAAAATAAAAAGTGAATTTTAGACTTAAATTTGGTTTTATGTTGTTTTCAAGCAAAGCGAAATGGCTTTAAAAGTAAAAAAATAAGCAAGTAATTCTAAAAGAAGTAGCTATTCCAACTCAAAAAAAAAAATGCATAAAACTTAAACAAAATTGAATTAAAAAATAAGTAAATAAAATGACTGACCTTTCTGGATCTTCACCAGAAGGAGGCTCTTCTGGCGATGCAGTTACTTCCTGGAGGGATTCAAGAAGAGCTGCAGTCGGTGCAGGTATGTTATCGGGCAAGTGTTCGGAAGAGATGACACTTCCTATATCTACAGAAGAAGAGGGGACTGAAGAAACTTGAGAGAAAGTCTGTGAAGCAGGTGTCGCATGACTGTAGCTCGGTGGCGGCTGTTGCTGCATCGGCATACTCGACAAGGTCTGCGACATTGGCTGTTGGATCTGCTGCTGCGCCGGCATAGACATCGGCAGGGAGTATTGGACAGATGTCTGCACAGGCGGAGTCTGAGGCATATTCGGCACCTGCATCTGTTGCGACAGCGATGAAAACGTTTGCAAAGGTGGAAGGTTCGACGATTGCATCGACACTTGGGCGACACTGCTGTTTTGAGACATCGGTGGTAACATACCACCTTGGGACGTTATCAAAGGAGTATTTTGAGGCGGGATGTTTGTATTGGTGTAGTACTGCGGCTGGAGATGCGGCTGCGATTGTATATTCATAATCGGCTGAGGCTGCATGTTAGTCATCATAGGCGATTGCTGGAAGCTTTGCATCTGAGGGTGCATCGCTTGCATCATCGGCTGGGTACTCGATTGCGTCGCCACAGTCGGCTGCGACATCGGCAGAGCTTGCGAATAAGCCCCCTGCAAAACTTGCTGCTGTGGCATTTGCTGCATCGGCTGTGTCATCTGTTGCTGCATCGGAATCTGTTGCATATGAACTTGTTGCACAGGCTGAAGCGGTGGTTGCATTGTCTGCTGTGGCATCTGTTGTTGCATCATCTGCTGCGGCTGCTGCTGCTGTTGGATAGGCTGACTGTACTGTTGCTGTTGCATAGGCTGCTGTGGCTGTTGTTGCGGTTGCGACTGTTGAAACTGTGGCTGATGCATCTGGGGCATCTGCTGCATTGGCTGTTGCTGTTGGATCATAGGCTGTTGTTGATGCGTCTGGATAGGCTGTTGTTGTTGCTGCTGCTGGGACGGTTGTTGTGTCGTTTGTTGTTGTGAAGACGGTTGTTGTTGCTGTTGCTGCTGTTGTTGTGGCGGTTGCTGCTGCTGCTGCGGTTGTTGTTGTGGTTGTTGTTGTTGTTGTTGTACAGGGATAGCGTTGGCCAATACCTGTTGTATCTGTTGCGGTTGTAAGCTCTGGTGTTGATTCGAATTGGCTAATATCTGTTGCATATGCACTTGTGATAAACTCTGAGACTGTTGTGTCACCTGGGGTTGCTGTTGCGGCGCGTTGACCACTCCGCTCTGCATCTGCATGCTGTTCTGCAAAGATTGGCCGGGCGAGACGGAGGTGTAGGCCGCCGGGAGCGTAGACGGTGTGTTAATCGGCAATTGTTGGTTGCCGACCAACTGTCCGTTATCCGTCGCCTGCATCGTCACCGATGTCGAATTCGACGAGACTTGCTCTTTATTATGATTCGAAGAAGGAATTATCTGTGGCTGTTGTTGTTGTGGTAGTGGTGGCTGTTGTGATTCTTCAACTAAATTATTAATACTCACACCGCCACCAGCTGTTGTTGTCGTCGACGTGTTATTACTATCCGTATTATTAAACTCCGTAGAAATTTGTTCACTATCACTTTTGACTTGGTTTTGTGCGATGTTGTGATCTAAATAGTCCATACAGACCCAACGGCCGCGTTTGAACGGTTCAGTACTTTCGATTTTAACGACTTTAAACCTTTCCGTGCGTGGAGCAGGAGGATGCATGTCTCTCATCTCCGGATCATGTTTGGTACTCACGACACCTAAATTAATCACACTTTCTGTCACTTCGACACGTAAATCCGTATTAGCACTCGATTCACTGACGTCCGAATGGTTCGAGGGATTTTCACTGTTTTCCGGCGTCGCCAATATCGCGAGGCCGTACTGCGAACTGGTCGGGATGACGGGAGCAGAGACTAACGAGGAGGACGCGTTGAAAAACACGTCGTCTTTGGAAAACGTATCCTCGGAATAACTCGGCGTCTCATTCTCCAAATCCGTTATACGAGAATTGTCCACCACTTCTGAGATGTCTTCCGTGTGCGATTCGTCTAGATCGTCTGCCGAATCGTCACCACCGTCATTGCTCGTCCTCGAGCCGACTGTCACACTAGTGATCTGAAACGAAGTTTTCTTCCTCGGTGTCGACGTCGATAAAGAGTTGGGTTGCCCAATCGCCTTCTCGGTTTCCGTGATTCGCAACGTCTCGCTTGTCGTCCGCTGTACAGAGTTGTTCAACTTGCTTTTATCTGAATTTTTCGAAGATATAACACCTGCACTGTCAGCCATGATAGTCCGACTAACTTTAAATAAAGCTAACCACTCCACGTTTTCGAGCCATCTCGAATGGCCCAATTTGCCCGCTCAGACGGCAAATTCGATTTAGTCGCCTCGTTAACTATCCACATACACGGCACTCGGATATTAAGCTATTTTTAATGCAAATAAGACGAGGAGATTGGCTTCAGTCTCCATTGCCTCGGCCTTGAGTGAATTAAGACACCCTACAATAATATAACCTACCCGCCGACCAAAGCCGTACCAATTCCCGTATCATCGGAACAAAAACGTACAAATTTTCACCCTTTTTTTTAAAAATGGCTACACACTAAATAAATTAATACATAGAACGGGGTTTTCTCTGCTGAAAATCAAATTACAGACGAAAAATGGAAAAAATTTGCTTTGTCTGCTCAAGCGCTGCTGCCGTTTATCTCTAGCACACTGTTGGCGGAAGAGGGAAATATTTTCAATTCAAACTAACAAGCAACCAATCCGGCCAATCTTATCTTTTTAATCATAAATATTTTCAATCACCATTATCTTCACGCTTTTCTGTATTTCGATAGATTATTAATAAAAAACTATTGAATTTGATTGAAACTCCAGAAAAACATCAATACAAAAAAATCTTTACAGACGAAATGATGTCGCTGCCATTTTATGATGGCTCATTAGTAAAAAGAAAATTGTAAATCATAAATAGTAAATTGTATATTGTACAATTATATTAGCAAACTATTAACGAAAGAGAGAAACATTTTTAATTTGAACTAACAAGCAACCAATCCGGCCACCTTTATCTTTTTAATCTCAAATATATTCAATCATCATTATTCCACTCTTTTCTGTATTTTGATAGATTATTTAATAAAAAAATATTGAATTTTTTTGAAACTCCAGAAAAAAAATCAATACAAAAAAATCTTTACAGATGAAATGATGTCGCTGCCATTTTTATGATGGATCATTAGTAAAAAGAAATATGCCCATAAACAGTATAAAATTATATATTACTCAATTTATTAGTGGTCTAATTGACCACATTAATTATTTTTTTTATATAAGGTCTTTGGTCAAGATGGAATGAGCCGAAGGTCATGGGTTCGAATCCCACTCCTGACACTAACTTTTTCATCTTGACCTAAGACCTTACATAAAAAGAATAATTGTATATTAAATAATTATATTAGCACACTATTGGTGGAATAGGGAAATATTTTCAATCCGAACTAACAAGCAACAAATCCAGTCACCCTTATCGTTTTAATTACGAATATTTTCAATCACCATTATTCCACTCTTTTCTGTATTTTGATAGATTATTTAAGAAAAAATATTATATTTGATTAAACCTACAGAAAAAATTAAAACAAAGATTAAATAAGAAATACAAAAATCTCATATACAATGAAAGATACAAAGATTCAATAAAAAATATTGTTTCATTCCAGAAAAAGTCAATAATTTTTTTTTTATAGATGTAATCATGTAGATGTCTTTTTATAACAGCTCATTAATAAAACGTCAACCTCTCAGGTACAATTTTATTACTATTTGTAGTAAAATAACTGTGCACAAATTTAATTGCGTTTAGAATGTCTTTCTATAACAAAACATCACATTCTAATACATTATTATATAAGCAAGGAACAGTTAAAATTTTAAGTTTAATAAAAAATTTTTTTTTACAGCATTCTTTTAACCTTACATTTCCTACTACCATAATTGCTTCTCACTTTTGCTTAAAAAACCTCTGCATCTTTAGAATGTCCCTACACCAACAATGCGCATGTAATTTAAGATTTAAAATATGAAAAATAAACATGTACCAGTACTTTAGGAAAAACATTACATCTTAACAATACAAATATCTATTGAGTTTAGATGCAAAGAATCTACAATGCACATCGCAAGTGAGAAATGAATCAATATATACCCCTGAGTGCTTTATAAACTGATTTTTTTCTCTAATTTTTGTTTTAGATGTACTCATTATCAAAACCTTTGACTTTTCTTTTCTTTAGTTAACCACAGACCATTTTATGATGCAATTGTTTCCAAAATAATTTCCTTAAAAACTCTTTGTCCAGTGGGTCCTGATGCCATTCCTACAATGCTTCTTAAAAACCGTTTATTGCTCTCAGTTTTTCTCAGTATTATTTAATCAATCAATGTTTGGAAACGTAGCTGTATTCATCCTGTTTATAAATCTGGTGACCGTTAGAACATGACAAATTATCGCCCTGTAAGTATTCTTTCTGTTATTCCCAAATTATTTGAAAAACAGATTTATGATCAATTATCTCCATCAATACATTATTATAATTCGTGAATAACATGGCTTTATGCCTAGATGCTCAACTACCACTAAATTACATACTTTGCGACACTTATTTTTTCAGAAATGATGAATGATGGAGTGAGTGTGGTGTTCAATCCTTTTTATCTACATTTCAATCAAAACATCAACTTGATGTCATTTATCTAGATGTCTCAAAAGCTTTTGATTCTGTAAACATTGACCTTCTTTTACATAAAATTCACCAGTAAGGGGGATATCTTGTAAGTATGTTGGGTTAGAATGCAAGGCTGCTGGATTCGAACCCAGGACCTTTACCTTACAGTGATGAGTGCCGTGTCAACGCCTAAACTGTTGCATCCACCGACGCCCCCAAAATGTTTACATGGTTTCAAAATTATCTTAGAGATAGTTTTTCAAATTGTTAAAATTCGTCCTTCCTTTTCTTTTGAAATTCATACTTGTTCTGGTGTTTTACAGGGCTCTTTTAGGCTTTTAGGACCACTATTGTTTTTTTAAATTTATTTAAGATAATTTTTTCATTGATTTTGTTAATTTTCTTCTTTTTGTGATGATCTAAAATTTTGAATACTTAGGACTTAATTCCTTTTACAAAAGTCTTCCTCAGGAATAATTCGTTGGTTTCATAAAAATGGATGCTTCAAAAACTTCTGTAATGTCTTTCTACTGTGGCTCTAAAAACATTTCTCCCCTTATATTATTAATAATATTGTGTTAATTATATTAAAACAATTATATTGTTTGTATTGACCTAGGAGTCATATTTTAGCCCAATATATCCTTTTCACTACTTGATACTAAATAAAACCTTTTTAGGTGCTAGGTTTCATATCCCGCAATGCTCATAATTTTATAAATATAATAGCCTTTAAACATATCTTTTCCTCCCTTGTCCATTCTAATCTTGAATTATCTTCTCTGGCAGAAACATTCTTTAGAACAAGTTTGAAATAAATTATTTACATTCATCTTCTTTAAATTCCTTATATTTTGCATAATATTCCTCATTTTCAATCTACTGCACATTTATCTGCATTATAATCTCTTTGTTTTTATTTATAAATAATAGAATCGATTGTTCCTTATTATTTTCTCATTTAAATTTCCAAATTCCACTCTATAATCAAAGGCTTTCTTCCATATTCCTCTTGATTATCTTCTTCAAATGCGGTATCAACTCACTCCAGAAAATAGTTAATAACCTTATTCAAAAGATTCTACAAATAAATATATCCATTAGTTCCTCACAAACCATTAGATCATATCTCCTAGTTATTCAAAATAATTAGATCATTACTTTTGTCTTTTTTATTATAATTGGAAGTTTTAATTCTAACACTGCTTAGCGTAATATAAGATTTGTTCTGATTGTTATGTTTATACTCTATAAATATGTTGTAGGGAGTTTGTTTGTTCCCATTTTACTACCAAAAATAAAATTTTGTATTACACTAAAATTGGCTTAAGAAAAAAGACAATGTATTGAGGATGGTCACTTTTTTAGCCGTCAACACAATTAATTTAAAGGTAATAACATCCTATTGAACATCTTGTAAAAAAATATTATCTTCCAATATAAAAATGATAAAAAAACACAATAAAGATATTTTCTTTGTTTGCCATTTTGTAAACACCAACTACTTTTTATTGTCATCAAGATAAAAGCAATATTAGGTGTTATTAACTGGAAAATTTTCCAATATTTGAGAATGCGAAACTACTTATAAAACAAAAACAGAGCTTTCAATTTAAAACATGTATACTTAAGACTAACAATAAGTATATTTTTGCAGTCTTTCACCACGATTAGATCAATGGGATAGCTGCACAAATTATGTTATATATTTTCATTTCTAAATATTAAAACTTTCTCAAATTAACTTATAATACATTTTTACACAATAGCAGCATAAAAAAATTGAACCAAAACAAAATAACACATAAACCATACAAAGATATTATTTTATATCTTTATTATTTGCTCTAATATATCTTATATTTGCAAGCAATTCCAAATATTAATAAATATGCTTTTTTGTATTCATACTTCAAAACCAACTAATAATATGATGTATGGTGTTTCTAGTAATAATTGACTTTCAATTGAATCATTGCAAATGATTGAAAATGAAAAATAAAAATGTTAGCATTTTTCTGTTATTCCCTATAATTTTTAATGCATTATAATATATTTATGGAACATGTTACAATACAATTCTTGATATTTAATATACAGAATTATGATAGAAGCAGGCAAATAAATGATGTAAAGGTGTAAATGAAAGCTTATTATTCCAGATAAATTTTTATTACAACAATTAAGATAATTTTGAACATTTTTATTGCAGTCGTTCATAGATTTTTTTTTCATTATTTTTTGCTAAACATACAATCAATGTTACAGCTGTATATTTAGATCAAAGTAGTATGAAAATCAATAATCATAATTTCACTAATTTCATGGTTCGCTTGACCAATTAATATATTACAATTAAAATTTATCTCAACTAAAAACCTTAATTAATTGTAATAATCATAATAATAAAATCAAATTTCTTCGATATAAGAAGATAATTAAAAAATGAAACAACATAAAATTCTATTTTAATTAATTATACATTTAATATAATGTCTTGGTTGAGATGAAAAAGTTAGTGGGACAAGCAGGATTCGAACCCATGATCTTCGGCTCAATACACCACTGGTCTTACTACTTGAGCTATCGTGACTTTGATATAAGTCCACTTTAACCTATCTACTGTGCTTCCAACAGGACATACTTGATGCATTCAAAGATAATTGCCAAATGGATGTAATCTTTACAGACTTTAGCAAGGCATTTGACAAAGTAAATCACAAGGTGCTAAGCAGTAGGCATACATGGTACAATGTTAAAATGGCTTTCTGATTTTCTTAGAAAGAGAACACAAATAGTCTCTTTAAACAATGTACAATTGGAACCAATAAAAGTATCGTCTGGAGTACCTCAAGGCAGGCATCTCTCCCCTCTATTATTTATCATTTTTATAAATGGTATATCTCAATGTTTGTCTCATTGCAAAATTCAGCTTTTTACTGATGACTTAAAAATTTATAAGGTCATAAAAACTCCAACGGACTGCGATAAAATACGTGATATTAATGAACTAGTCAACTGGTATAATAATGTACCTTAATAGTAGTAAATGTAAATGTTCTATAGAAACGTAAATCCAATTGTTTGTGATTATTGTATATCTAACGTAAGATAAAGCACTGTGTTTCATTAAGGATTTAGGGATTTTATTTGATAAAACCCTCTCCTTCAAGGAACATATAGAGTTAATTATTAACAAAGCTTTAAAACTCATTGGAATCATAAAATGAAATACATCAGAATTTAAAAATATAAATTGTATTAAAATTAGTCAGGTCCATTCTTGAGTTCAACTCAACAATCTGGTCACCATAAGGTATATTGATAAAACTGAAAGAGTACAAAACAAATTTTTAAGATACCTTGCCTATAAAATGAAAATAAATTTATAAATTGTTACTTATGATCATCTAAGATTTTTATTTAAATTGCTAAATTACATAACAGTATGTCCTGAAATGTTATCGAAAATTATGTTCAATGTTCCACAAAAGGTAACTCGATATCAAAATCTATTCTACATCCCCTTCTGTCGAACTAACTATTTGCAATCAGCACCAATTATGAGAATGTGTCATTTTGTCAATTCTTTGCAAGTGGACTTATTTTCCAACTCAATTCGTGTGTTTAAGAAAAAGCTGCATAAGCAAGTATGTAATAATATGTAACGATGTACAAATGTATGTTGTGATTGGCGTTGTATGCCATAAATAAAGATTATTATTATTATTATTATTATAAGCATACCATTCACTGAGTTAGGGTTATAATGGGTCTGAAATCATGGAAGGTAAGGACGGGATATTCAGGACTTTTTTTTTAACAAGACGAGGACTCTTTCCAGAAGATCAGGATGTTGAAACAAGAAGCCAGAGGGATGATTTAACATGACATTTGATGATTTTGTTTTCCAAGAGGAATAAAAATCTAGATGTTCACGATGCTGGCTCCCGAAGGCAAGAGTCTAAAAATCCCTGCTTGTGCTGTTCTGCTTATCAACTACTGATCTCCACCTGCTTTAGGTCCATGAAGTTTTGCTCATTATATATGTTTTTAATATTTAAATTTAAATATAATGAATGTTAAAATATATTTGTCTATTCACAAATGTTTTAATGTTTAAACTTACACAAAGAACTTTTGTTTTATGCATGCATGTTTTGTTATATATTACATATTTTATTTAAGCAATTGTACAAAGCCTAGGTAAATAAAAGAATAAATAAAATAAAACAGGAACAGTTTCTTAAGAAATTGCATTTAACAAATGTACTGACATTGAGATAAGAATTATTTTAAATATATATTTTTATGTCAAAAAGTGATGAGAGATAAACGATAAAATCACTTATCTACAAGGCTTCAAAATAATGCTTTATAATGCTTGATGGGTTCAGTACTAAATCTTATTCGGTGACAGAAAGACACGATCAATGAAGATTAGGAAAAATCAGCTTTTCAATTAATCACTCGAGATTCCTTATACGCTTTAATACTAGTACTAATAATAATAAAAAAAGATTTTCAGTTTAAAGTTAATTTATTTTTTATTGTTTCATTGTTTTCTTGTTTTCTTGTTCATTCATTCTTATGAGGAATAACTGAAAATGCGAGTATTGTATTTTGGTTAAATTTTTTTTTTTATGGGATTAATGGCTTGTCATCAGTAGAGTGAGTACAGAAAATTAATACTATTATGATACCTCAAAACTGATTATCTGTTGTTTTATGGTTGGATAATAATATGTACAAATTAAAATAATTATGTGTGGTGATAGTGACCATTAGTCGATGATTATTTAGAAATCATGAGATGCGGTCTGGTGTGATGTAGGTTTCAGAAAAACATTTTCTTTATTGTGCCAACGTTTCGATCTTTACTGGGATCATCTTCAGGGCCTGGGATTTATAAACATTGTTTAAATTTAACAAATACATGTAGGATGTGGACAAAAGTGAATTTATACAATGCAAAAAAAAAATTTTTTTTATATTCAATCAAAGTATTTCTACTAGCTCAGTGTTTGTTTTCTGAGTAGAAATACTTTGATTGAATATAAAAAATATTTTTTTTTTGCATTGTATAAATTCACTTTCTTCCACATCCTACATGTATTAGTTACATTTAAACAATGTTTATAAATCCCAGGCCCTGATGATGATCTCAATAAAGATCGAAACGTTGGCACGATAAAGAAAATGTTTTTCTGAAACCTACATCACACCAGACCGCATCTTACGATTTCAGAATAATTATAATAATTATGAATTTGTGGAAAAATCTCTAATCACTAACAGTGGTATTTCGTTGTATAATATTGATAAAATGATACCTAAACAATGATGATTACTTGATTGACTTTATTTTGTTGTTTTATGTTTTATTTATAATCTAGTGATATCAATTATGTTAATCCAACTCCTTCATAATATAAAATAAGTAACACTTATTCTTAATTGTAACTGAAATTTTATTTAAAATTTTTTTGTTATTTTATTTTTATGACTGTGCGTATAAAATATAAAGGCATTACAAAAGTTATAGGTGATGTTATGAAGTTAGCCAATAAAATATCTTATAAATATACTAGCATATAATTTTTTTTGTAGCTTGATCAACCATGATTGTTCTAAGGATTGGCAAGTTTAGGATGATCATAGATGATCAAGCTAAAGGTTCATCACCTTGTGTCCCTCACCATAACGTTTCACAATATAATTTCTCGTATAATCTTCCTTATAGATTCTTGTTAGTGTGTTTTGTTAAAACAAAGAATGTACAGAATATTCATTCACTTTTAACATTTGCTTTCATTGAGTTTCTTGAAGAATTTTACCCATAAAAGAGATTTTTGTTTTTCTTTAAGCATTCTCCAGTAGATTAAACTGGCCCTAGCAAAACTGTTTTAAGTTGTCAGATTTATGACAAACATGTAGTTACCTATAGAAAAAAAAATACTAAAAATGCATTACTACATTATCTTCTAATTAATTACAAAATTTATTTTAAATTAAATTAAATTTGAGGCAACAGGAAATTAATATTTGAACGAAACTCTGACGTTATCTATTAATATTATAGCCACCTGTTATTTAAGATCTGGGCAAATCTTGGATATTTTTGAAAATTATTGATTTTTTCCGTAACAGATAATATTGGTTGAAATAATTTTATAAATGAAACTTTAATTTTTTTTTTTACTTCAGCAACATTTATAAAATTACTTTTATTATAAACTTTTTTATGAATCTTAATTAAATCAAGCGAACCATATGCTAAAAGCATTGGAAATTATGTAAACACAAGATTAGTGTCTAACAATCTCTGGAGGGTAAATATTTATTCCCAGATAATCATAGAAGATTAGTGATAAAATAATAAATAACTCCCCTGAACGGTAGTCCTGTAAAAAGGGTTACTTAGTTGATAATCGGACGGCGGTAACAAAAATTTTTGGGGAGCTGGACGAAATTTACAAACTATGGCTCAGCCTGAAAAAGAACTGCACAAAAACATATCCAGGTTTGAAAAGTACTGTGACAAGTTTGGGATAAATCCAAATCTGCTCATGCTCAAAGTAACACTTTTCATGATGTATGGAGGTTGGTATTAAACTGTTCCCAATTGTACTATACTTATTATTAACATTTATGAATAAATACAAAATACCTAGAAGTCTTACATATAAAAATATTTATAGGCTTCTGGTTATTGGGGTGAAATCCATCTCATACGTTTTTGGTGCATACCTCTATGGGATGAGTGGGTTTATTAAAAAGAGCCTTATTAATTTCTGGCACATGTGTTAAAAATGATTAAATTATAACAACATATTACATTAGATGGACATTTGTAACAGTTCATAACCAAATAATTAGTATGATAAAATTATTAAAAAAACATACTAAATTATGTAGAAAAGGATCTAAAATTTTAAATTTACACCTATAATTTTTGATCGAACATTTTTCCTATTGTTCCATTTTGTTTAATTTATAGTATTTTGATAATTAATTTTTTTAAATATAATTAAAAGAAATATTGTTTATTCCATTGTAAAGGTCCTGGCAATTTTTGAAAAATATAAAATTACATTTTAACAGTCAGTACTCCTTGTTCTTATTTCTTGTTTTTGCATATTACTTTTCTATTTTTCAGCTAGTGCGTCTTTATTACCTTTTCTGACAATTCATATGCAAAGTATCGGTTTAACAGTAGAAGAAATCGCAATAATCTACTTAGCGCTTCCTCTCACAACATTTCTCAGCCCTCCGGTGACAGGTACAAAATTATTTTCACCATAAAGTTAACGGTATCAGGAAAATGATTTTTCCCCCCAGGGTTTCTTGTCGACAAATTTGGCCATTATAAATCCGTTGTGATATTCTCACTCGTACTCAATGGGCTGTTCCACCATTCGCTGATGCTTATCCCGCAGCAGGAAATTCCAGGGATGGTACCACTGGCGTACGTTCTGCGCCATCCAGAAACAGGCAAAGTAGAGGTATAAAATGAAGGTTTTAATCCTCTCACATTACTTTTAGCGTTTTTGTACATTTCTAGTATACTACATAACTTATTTATTGCATGATTTTTATTACCATCTTAATAATCAGTTATAATTGATGGTAAAAATTATAGAGATAATCTCAGTGTGTATATGCAGATAAATAAAAATTATCTCTCATGTTTATAATTGTAAAAATGCGATGTAAAGAAAAATATTAAATCAGTTAAAAAAAGATTTATAGGCTATAAATTTTGCACGTGATATGGTCGGTCATTAATGTGAAATTGGTTGAACAAATATGTAATAAGGGTAAACTAGCTCAAAATAAGCCTTATCAGTGCACTAAAAGCATAAACTAAAAGCTTTTTTGAGCGAAAAATAAAAAAAAATCAAATAATGAAGATTTACTTTAATAGAAAATGCATTTGATAATTGTGTTTTATGGTAATTTTAACTTAACAATATTTTGGCTAAATTATATAGAGATAATATTTTAGGTATGGTGGAGTCCATGTCCAAGTAGAGAATGCCCCGATGATGAGGAGTTGAATTTAATCTTAGACGACTGTTATGACCATTGCCTACTTAGAAATTCTTCAGTCAAACCGCCTGGTCTTTTGGCGGGGATACATCATAGCATTGCTGTGAAACCACCTACATTCATACAGCCACCACATGGAGTTAGAAAAATTATAATAATCACTGTTATAGCAGTAATAAATTAAATACATTTTTAGAATGCATGGTGCCAACCGTATTACAATTCTCCTCACCAACACGATGCTTTTGTCCATGAAAAGGATCTTCAGTTCCATTTTGAAAATAAAAAAATTGGGACAACCACACAGTAATATAATAAGCTAGTTATTTAATTAAAATAATTTTATAAACAATTTTTCTTGTTTAGAAAAAAGAAAAAAGGAATGACAGGGAATGCAAAAAATAGTACTATGAAAGGTAAACCAAAAAATGAAACTTTACCAACAAATATTACCCTTCCGAAAGAAGAAATTCCACAAAATAATTCACAACAGTCAGCTTTATTTATTATCGATATGCATACTGACCTTGCTGGAGCGTCGCAAACCCTTGGTTTGTTCAAAGCTTACGCAATCTGCTGATTAAATAGAAATTTAATTTATATAATTTTTGCCTTAGGGATAGACATAGAACCTGAAAGCGCTGAGGAAGGAACTGAAACAGATTTCAGCCAGCACTTTAGCGAAAAACTGTTGGTCGACAACGGTGTTAATTTTACAGCTTTGGAGGAATCGGATCTAAGATGCGGAGGATTTGTAATGGCAACGAATCTGACATATGGAACGCTGAAAGAATTAGCAGCAGACTGTATGCTTCAAATCTGCCAATTCAGGTAATGAAAACATTGTACATATTTGCAAGCAGTATTCATAGAAAAGTGTAGGGATGGTGGTCCTGAAGTCTGCCCTCCTGACTACAAGGAGTCTGGCGATCATGTCTTTTGGATATACTTTGTACTGCGATTTCTGGGCACCACAATGCTTGCAGCTTCAGTAACTGTAATGGATCCAATTGCACTTACAATGGTGCAGGAATATGGTGGTGAATTCGGAAGAGAACGGCTTTTTTCTACTTTTGGAATGGCCATCTTTTCTCCTCTTTCTGGGGTGCTTATCGACTATAGCAGTAGAAACCTTGGTAATTTTGTTAATAATCAAACTATATATATATAATTACAAAATCAAACATTTTTTTAAAAGGGTATACTGATTATTCTGCTGCCTTTTATACATACACTGTTCTCATGGCGTTATCTTCTTTGGCTGTACTTTTGATGCCTGTCGGTGCCAAATTACCGAATGACAATTTAATGAAAGACATGTTGAAGCTTATAAAAATGCCCCATGTCATGATGTTTGTTGTGTTTTTATTTATTCTTGGAAACTGTTGGGGTTTCATTGAATCCTACTTATTTTTATATTTGAAAGAACTCGGTGCATCTAATTATTTACTCGGTGAGTCAAAAATTCAATTATATTTTAAACAATATACAATAATACAAAAATGTAGGAATCACTGTTTCTGTGGGAACGCTGAGTAGCATTCCTTTCCTGTACGGAGCTGAGAAAATCACGACCAAAATAGGCCATGTCAATATTATAGTGATCGCATTTTTTGCCCATGCTGCAAGACTGACAGGATATTCATTTATATAGTAAGCATAATAATTAAGTAAATATGTTGCTTACCTTATTTATTAATTTTAATCTGTGTTTTTTATTTTTGACAGTGACGCTTGGTGGTGTTTTCCTTTTGAGGCCATTGAATCATTATCTGTCCATCTCATGTGGGTCGCAGCAGCTACTTACTGCACAGTCATCGCACCAAAAAATTTACTCGCTACATTAATAGGAATTTTAGGAATGGCCCACTTTAGCCTCGGTACAAACGTATTTAAATTAAACATAATGGACATATATTTACATTTTTAGAAATTTAAAGGTAGAGGAAGCGGTAGTTTCTGCGGTGGTTTACTAATAGAAAAAGTTGGCATAAGACAGTCGTTCAAACTTATGGGTTTAATGTCAGTCGTGGCTGGTACTATTTACGGCATCCTCCATTTCTTTTGGCTCCACAAATACACCAACGACAAAGAAGATGCAAAAGGTAGGTGATTCTGTGAAAAAAAAAATTGACCGAAAGTTGCTCAAAGTTCGATTTCAATAGATCACGCTGAGGTAGAAAAGTTGAATTCAGAGAGAGATGACTTAGAGAAGGACGAAAAAGAAAAGCTATCCGAAAGTTGTGAGAGACTTAGCTTGATGATAAGATTCAACCACAGGGGATCACTTTCTTCCCTTACAGGTGAATAAAAAATTTATTTTTCTGTAAAATAAGTCAAAATCAACGACACAACAATGATTTTTCAATAATTTAAGCATTAAAGTTCTAATTAAACAGAAATAAGGTATTCATTTAATCTTGTATGTTTTCTTAATAATAAATATAAGAAAGTATGGTTAAAATCAAAATATTGATTTGTATGTATTTTCTTTTAGCTTACTCATTATTTAATTATTCAATTAGTCGAAGACAACTTAGTTTAAAACTTGTGACATATATGGATATAAAAAATAAGAGGAATAGGAGATTTACATAATCAATTTTGTGAATAGTTGGTTCTTCATTTTGAAAAAAAAAACGAACTATCTAGTTTGATGGAGAATATTTTAAACAATCAAAACGTTAGAAGAAAACTACAATTTTTTAAAATCACAATTTTCGTTCAAACGAGTGAAGAATTATGCGATTATTTAAATAAAGGCTGCAAGTGGGATGAAATAGCTGGAGGGTAGAAGTTTGCCGTCGACGGCAAATGACATTAAAGGCAATCATTCTCACCATTGTAGTGTTCCATCTAGTCAGAACTGGAGTTAAATCCCTTAATAAATAAAAGCTCCTCCCCACGGATCTTAAGTTGTAAATCAATTTATTGTTCTCAATGACTTGTTACCACCTTCTTTCGAATATATAAACTCAATTGCCGTTTGTTTGCTTGAATTTTCCGAAAGGAGCTTTCGCTAACTTTTTCGCCAAGGGAAAAAAGTTGATCGTAAGCGATTTAAATAAAACGGTTTTGTCGTTTGAAAAGAAAAAAAGGCGTTGGAAAGAAAACGACCATTACATAATTTACTGCAGTGTATTTCGCTCTGGCGAATCTGTTTTTTTTTTTTTAATTTTATTTTTAAAAGCCCATTTGTAAGTATGTCGGGTTCGAATGCAGGGCCGCTGGATTCGAACCCATGATCTTTACCTTACAGTAATGAGCGCCGTGTCAACGCCTAAACCGTTACGGCCACCGACGCCCCTGGCGAATCTGTTAAAATGTTAAATCTACGATTTACGCAACGAACTTTTAAATTTTCTATTCAAAAGTCAATATTACAGGTGTATTTTATGTATAAAGTCCCTTTGTGCCATTTCCCCCCATTCATTATTTTATTACGGTGAAACCAGTGCCTTGTAATTCAGTCTAGGACGCTTGCATCATTGACGTTTCATAAATTTTTATTATTTACTGACCTGCATGTCCAGAAAGAGTTTGAAATCAACTCTACATTATTCACAAGCCGTTTTCTCTCCATGCATAAACATTTTATCATTATTGAAGTTTACACGTTGAATTATATTCCTCGATCCATATTCCGGCCTAATTCTTGGCCATGGCTTCTCCGCAATTAGAACCTTGTAAATATTCATATGTAAATCCAGTGCAGAATTTTCGGTGAAAAATGAGTAAAACCGTTTGTTTGCCGGATTAAGGTGTTAAACGTCTTGATTTTAAGCAATTTGATAAACCACAATTGCCTCAAGCTGGTTTATCAAAATATGATTACTTTAACCTACTCAATAAACCATGGAGTAAATAGAATCGAACTAATTACAATAATTAAGAATGAAAAGCTCAACATTTCTTCAATAAATAAGTTTTACTTGTTAAATGTTAGTCGTTGATATGTACCATTTTATATCAACATTCTTCATCCTGTAACTTGATCAAATCCCGGTTAAGCCGGCGTGTTCAAAATAAACCAAAATCAACCGGAAAATCTGTTTTGTTGATATTTTAAGTTTTATTATATCCAACACGTCGGTTAGCCTCCGACCGCGTAAATCCAATCGGATTTCTCACCGCCTGATATAATTATTTCCAGGCGAAAACTCGCTTGAGATGTGCCAGGCTAAATCGAAATTCCTCCTGTTAATAATTATTTGTCGTTAAACGGTTTTCGGTGCTAATTCACGCCATGTGAATTGTTTCACCATACTGCGTGTGTTTTGTACAATAAACGGGGGTAGATGCTGCTCCTCGTTACCGCATTCCGAAGCGGTTTCCTGTTAACGAGCTTTAAGCCATATGGCATGAACTTCGGATTTGATATTTACAATTCTGTAGATACTTGAGACTCGGTTGGTTTAAACCTAATGACGATTTTATTTTTTATATTAATTTTAGGATATAGTTTGTCAGAGATAACCGCATCTGGTGCACCCATGTCACAGAATTGTCTGCTCTCACACACTTCTTCTATTTTATTATTGTTTACATAGTTTTTCATTGACCTGAAAGGGGCAATGTTTGAGCTGTATCGTATTTATTGTCAGGTAGCACATTTCACTAAAAGTAAAATTTTTGACGCATCAAAAACAAAATAAAAAGCAACAATCTTATCTTAGAAAAATCGGTTCTATAATCTCGTGCAAGGAAAATTTCCTTGAAAGATGCTATTGAAAGAGTTAAAATCATATTATTTCAAAGAAAAATCCCAAGAAGAAATTAATACTTAATGATTATTCGGAGATAGTTCCAACGTTTCCATCTTTATTGAGATCATCTTCAGGGCCTTCTTTATAAACATTGTTTAAATTTTACATAGTTAATGCTTTCTGTTTTAGTGAAGTTTTAGAAGTGTAGGTTAGTTTAATTTTATGATCGATGTTACACGGGATATGTTTTAAAATTCATCGCTACACTTCAGAGAAATTCATCATATTTTATGTAGTACTTGAAGTACCACGTTTGAGCTTAATTGCAGCAATCTCGTACTTAACAAATTATGTATTGTCAATATTAACGTCACAACCTCTGATCGAGCAACGCAGAGATCCAACCGGGACATAAAACGGCAAGAACGTCCGTAATTAGCAAGTTTCTTCTTAAGAGCTATAACTTTATCACTACACGACCTGTTATTACAGTTATTCTGTCAATAATTTCTTGTCTTTGATTGGTAACGAATGTGGGTTCAAAAATAGAAAATGTAGTTTCCTATAAACTACCCATAAGGGAAAAAATCTGTCCTCCGTACTTAAATTAGAACCGGAGATATAAAATAAAACGTTTGATGAGTTTTTGTTGATTTCGTCATTCTCTTTCTTATTTAAAAAAGCATTAAATATAAACACCATTGACGTAGGCTGAATGTGGATATATTCCGCTTTTCAAGGGTTGTAATACCGTCGGATGTAGATAAAATCCAGATGAGTTGTGAATTTTTAAGTGGAAAAACACTGGACACTGGTAAGAAAACAATTTTCCCCCGGCGAATCCAGCACAAAAATGCCTATTTTCTATTGCAAAAGGATGTATTTAAAAACTTTAAAGGGTTTTTAAGACGATTTGATTTTTTTTGGGAGGGGGATTTTACCTTACAGACCTCTTTTCGACAAATACAAGACGGATGGACGAACATTTTTAAGTTTTTCCAGTTCCTAATCTCTTTTCGTAATATAACGTGGATTATTTTACCTTAATGTTGCTTTTGCTTTTTCTGTTTGTCTTCTAGAGGATTGTTTTTAAAAGAAATAAACATAATCAATGATAATATAATAAATCACAAATGCTGAAACATAAAGGGGTTTATCGTACTGAAACGGGGAGCTAAATAAAATAATAAATGTTATTACATTTATATGGAACATAATAAATAGAAATAATTATAATACATTTAATTTATGTTACGTTTCATGCGAATGAGGCAGACAGTGGAACTATCTGCGCGCTTTGGAATATTAATCATTTTGAACAAAAATAGAACAAATTCGTATCGAATATTAATAGATTTGTTCAATCAGACATAATTATTAGAATATTAATAGCTAAACATAAAAAAATACAAAATTGTATTATTCAGAAGCAGAGGACTTCCGTTTTTGTATTAGCAACAAAAATCATCCTAGGGAGGGAATTTAATTTTCAGTTACCATCTGTCATAGTTTTGTTAATAATAAAAAATTCGTATTTAATTTGTGTTTTTTAAAAATACATTTTCAGATCCCCGCTCGTTGAGCAGGAGAAACAGTTCGAACGCAGAAGTGAGCAAAACTTTGCTAAAATCAGCCCTGGAAATAAACTACAGAAACTCAAATCCCCAATTAAGAACTTCTACGCCACAACTCTCAAAACTTTCTCATAAAGTAAGTAAACCGTCCTTCCAAACCCAACCTATGTTAAAATCAGGGCCGCATTAATTAGAGCCATCGAAAAAAAAATTAAATTAAAAAAATTACAACAAATACAGTATTTTCCGGGCGACTTTGGAAATTTACAATTATATAACATATAATTTATAGTTTATATAATTTACCATTTCTATCATTAAATCTGCGTCAATTTTTATTACAACAGCCTTTAAAGTGAACTACTATTATTTTGTTTACTTGTTTTAACGTAATTGGTAAATTTACGATGTAACTTTGGTTTTATTTCACAATTATATTAAATATTTAATATTATTTAGAAATTCACTGTATTGTGCAATGGATAAGGGAGAAAGATATTGTTGTATTAGGATTTTTTGTAAGGAATTCCACTTCTACACTTGCAAATAGTCGAAAATAATATGATAATATAATATAAACAGTTATGTTTTTTGCTTTACTTTTGATTGACAATCTACAAAAAAATTTAATTTTAGTTAGTTCCCCCCTTTATTTTAATTTAATTTTATTGGGACGTTTTTGGTAAAAACCAAATAGACCCCGAATAAGAACTTAACTTTTTCAAATGGCAAGATCCTCATCAATGTATATTTTTTAAACGTTTTTGACCAATTTATTAATTTATCATTTTAATTGATAGTAAAATAATTGGACATGGTGCCATAAGATTTAAGGAATAAATCATTTATTTAATTTTACAGACAATGTTTAAACGATGCGGCGATGTAAATATTAATTTAGCCTTCTTTTTGGCTTAGGAAAAACTAGATAAAAAATGTCTTATCTACGGGTTTTCTGTACATATACAGCGCAATAGAAAAAAAAACGAATTTAGTTTTGATATAATTTTTTCTGGTTCGGAGTATTGAGAGAATGTGTGGTGATTAGTGACCGTTAATCGATAATTATTCAGAAATCGTAAGATGCGGTCTGGTGTGATGTAGGTTTCAGAAAAACATTTTTTTTATCGTGTCAACGTTTCGATCTTTATTGAGATCATCTTCAGGGCCTGGGATTTACAAACATTGTTTACATTTAACAAATACATTTAGGATGTGGAAAAGTGAATTTATACAATGCAGAATATATTTTTTATATTCAATCAAAGTATTTCTACTCACTCAAAGTGTTTGTCTTCTGTGTAATTGTGCCGTTCTTGCGTGTCGTGTTGAGAGAAATACTTTGATTGAATATAAAAAATATTTTTTTTGCATTGTATAAATTCACTTTTTTCCACATCCTACAAGTATTTGTTAAATTTAAACAATATTTGTAAATCCCAGTCCCTGAAGATGATTTCAACAAAGATCGAAACGTTGGCACGATAAAGAAAATGTTTTTCTAAAACCTACGTCACACCAGACCACATCTCACGATCTCCGAATAATCACTAACCAACTGTCACTAAACACCACATATTAATTTAAGATTTGAAAATTTATAACCATACCTACAAAAATACATTTATTACAGAATAAATAGGAGAATTAAACGGCCTTTTTTCCTATTGCTAAAGGAGTTATTTAATTAAAAAATAGACCTTTTATTTTGGGTTTTTGAAAATATAAAATAATTGGGCTCTTAGAAGACCATATGAAAATAAATTATAGTTAATATTAAAATTAAAATTATATAAAATATACAAATATAAAGGATTCTTCTTTTAAATTGAGAAATGCGAAAAATTGTGTTTTTTAAGAGCCAATCATTTTCAAAAAATCCCACATTAAAACAAGAAATTTTTTCTCATGTACTTAAACAAAAATAATTTATGTGTGCTGATTAGTGACCGTTAATCGATAATTATTCAGAAATCGTGAGATGCGGTCTGGTGTGATGTAGGTTTCAGAAAACCATTTTCTTTATCGTGCCAACGTTTCGATCTTTATTGAGATCATCTTCAGGGCTCAAAGTGTTTGTCTTCTGTGTAATTGTGCCAACACAACACGACACGCAAGAATGGCACAATTAACAGAAGACAAACACTTTGAGTGAGTAGAAATACTTTGATTGAATATAAAAAATATATTTTGCATTGTATAAATTCACTTTTCCACATCCTAAATGTATTTGTTAAATGTAAACAATGTGTATAAATCCCAGGCCCTGAAGATGACCTCAATAAAGATCGAAACGTTGCACGATAAAGAAAATGTTTTTCTGAAACCTACATCACACCAGACCGCATCTCACGATTTCTGAATAATTATTGAAAGAATTTGAGAATGTTGGGATCTGGGTAGTAAGAAAAACAGTTATAACTATTGTTTTCAACGTCAATTTTATCCAAAAAATTTAAAAAAAGCTCGTCCAGATCGCGTGAAACGCAAAATGATTTGAGATTTCAGCTTCTTCTATTGCAATAAGCATCTCAGTGTGATTAGGCCTTTAGTGTGAAAGAGTTGTGTGTTTATGTAAGAGAATGTGTGATTTCTTTGATTAAAAACACTTTAAAATTGTCAATTGTTTACTTTTGCCAGTCCAAACGGGATTAATTGAAATCCAGAAGAGTAACTTACCGTTATTGATTCCCTTCGAATAAATGGGCGCGAGGGGGTGTTAACTAATTTTGCCTAACTTTGTTTCAAGTTGCCGTCGAGCCATTATTTAGCCAGGCTCGTGTGTGAGAATGAATCTCATTTTCTATAACGGGATCGTTTTGAATGGACAAAAAGTTCCAGTTCTATAAACGTTATATTACAGGAGTTAAAAAGCAGAAATTATTAGGAAAGTTTGGTCTTATATCTTCTCCGTTAAGGCTACAACTTTCTTTCCTCTGAATCTCCTGTCAATAATGTTCTAAGCTATTAGTAGAACAAACTGTTGAAGCAATAAATAAAAAGGATTTTCTCTATCGTGGTATTTTTCCTTATACTCTTCAAAGTCCTTCTAGAGACAGTTATATGATGATAAATAATAAACGAGTCAATAGATAATAATAATAATATAGTGTTAAACGTATAATTTGAACTTCACAAAAGTTTTTCGTTTTAAAACAAATCGACAGCAAAGTTTTATTTCGAGTACAATGTCTGCACCACAACACCTCTTTCAAGGTAAAAGTTGCGAAGTTCTCAAATAACCAACTTACATTTGTAACTAAACACAGTTCTAAACTGACATCGTAATTACTCAGGCTTTTTTAAAATAAAAGTCCAACCGTAATAACATTTATAACTTTAAAAAATATAGAAAAAGGAGTTCTTTAATACAGACAATTTAACCTTGACCTAAAAAAAAACACATCTTTTATAATCGAATTTCGCCAACACGTGTCCCACCAAAATACATATGAAGGACTTGACTTATGCTTACAAGAAAGGCGATGATACTCAAGTATTTCCCAATTACGCTATCCATAGAATCAAGAATAAAATAACATTAAAAAACTTAATATAAGACCCTATTATCTACAATACTGTTGCGAAACGAATTAATTTAAATTTTCCTTTTGTTTATATCAATTTAATACGAGGGTGTATGAAAAAAGTTATAAAGAATTTTGGGTGGAAGCATAATATATTTTGTATATATAAAAACAATCTGAACCGTATACATTTTTATAAATAAATGACCTCAATGTCTATTTGTTAAGAGATTTCTACCTGTGGTTTTCGAGGTAATGAACACAGTTTGGTTGTCATACAGACACAGTGAAGATGGCGAAACTATCAAATTATGCAACATTTGGTTTTAAGGATCACTCTTCTATCGATCTTCTAAATTAGAAAGAAAGAGAAATGGGAGTGAGGAGAGAGAGAGAGGGTGAGATAGAGTGAGTGAGAGAAAAAAAGCGAGAGATTGAGAGAGAGAGAGAGAGAGAGAGATAGAGTGAGAGAGATTGATTGATTGATATCACTTATTTAACCACGCAGAATTAGGACTCTTGGACCTTTCTTACATCCAACGTGGGCAATAATTTATAATTCACAATATAAAAAACAAACAAAAACAACAACTTTAAATTATCTGTTTTACATAAAGTATGGTAGATATCCATTTACAACATGAATTTTTACATTTATTAGTTCTACTTTTTTTTAGAATTACACTATTTTGTTTAACGTTTTTAGTGTTGTATCTAACTGATCCATTAAAATTAATTATCAATTAAATTAAACAAAGATTTTACAAACATATAGAAAAATTAAATTCTATAAACTCTTCCTTTATACAAACGCAAGTTTAAAAAGTTAAGTATATTCTTTTAATCTATTAATCATGTTAGGAGTATCAACATGAGAGATATTCTTTTAGAGCTTTTTTTCTACGAATTTTGATATTCACATGTTTTTACATAATTGGGAAGTTTGTTATACAGTTGAATATTTCTTGGAACAAATGAATTTTGGTATGATTGTGTTCGGCATAATGGATTTCTGTACCTTTTATTTAAACGTGTAATTTTTGATTGGATGGGTTGTACCATTTCTACTAGGTAGGATGGTTTATTCGTCAATCTCATATTATTAAATAGAGTTGATATTTTATATTTTATTACGTCTTCTATTTTCAAAAGGTCTAAAGCTTTGTCATTCTTGAATCATATTTTAGGTTGCTTATATATCTTATACATGAATTTAGGGCAACCTTTAATTTATGGTTATTGTTGTAATTTAGATGTGATATTACAGCTAAACAGTATGTAACATATGGAAGCATTAAAACTTTATACAATTTCAACTTTGTTTTTGTTATTAGTTGTGAATATTTTTTTAAGTTGGTATAAAATGGAGTGTATTTTATTACATGTTTTTTATCAATTTGTATATTCCAATTTACGTATTTATCAAAAATTAATTCTAAGGTTTTGGGACTATTGAGAAAGAATGAGAGAGAGAGAGATAGAGAGAGAGAGAGAGAGATTTTTATCGTCTGCCTTAACGGCGCGAACGGCCAACAATTTCTGAACGCACAGAAGTCGTGCGGGTTTAGCCTAATGTACAAATTAGTACAAGGGCTATTATTTAAAACAA